AGGCCCTTTGAAGGACTAAATACATGACGTTTTGAAAACACCATGATGTACTTAATGAAATAATTCAGAAAATTCTTTCCATCATTATCAAGAGTCATTCAAAGCAATCTTGTTCCCTCGACAATTCGATTTTGGATTTCAGGATCCTCGTTGTTCACTGTGCTAGAAGTGCTGAGAGATGGTTAGAATGTTACATTCAACCATAATTGGAGAAAATAGTATGGGTCGGCTAGGAGCAAGTTTGTGCCTGCCTTGTACTCTTTCAGTTTGGAAGTAGCATATCCAAGGCTCTCATATAATCTAGTAATAATTAACTCACTAAGGCACACTTTTCAACCAGAGTGAAGTTGGTTTGCTAAGGTGAGGAATCTTCTGGATACTTGTAAAGATTTACAGCAAAGGAAACACCTAGATAGCCAGAGAGAAAGGAAAGCTATGTGCTCAACGTCAGACATTTCATCTTCTTTGACATGGTAAAGATTCATGTATTTGGTGAAGGCAACATTGTCGACAATGAAATTGATGATGGTGTTTGTATCCTGTTGATAAGGATCAAAGGTTTTTCCAGTAGGGGGAGTCCGGTGATAGCAGCCACATTGAAGAGAGAGGGAGTTATCATCCCACGAAGGAGATGCAAAGTATTGTAAGTACTATCCCAGAAGTACAACAAAGACATTAGCATGGGTTGGCGATAGCTAAAACCTATCTTCGACATTTAAATCAAACTGAAGATGCCTAAGTCTTTCCAGGCCTGAGATTTTACCTTTTCGACTTTAGCCAGCCAAGCGAGATATTGTTTATTTTCTACAGGGAAAGACCTAAAATGTCTGAATTTTTTGGTTACGTAGTCGAATTGAAAAGGTTTATCTTCAGCTACAATAATTAAGGGAGTATTTTTTGGGTTTTCTCTACAGACGATTCTGCTAATTGTTTATTAGGGTTGTTATCTTTCTTCTTAAAAGTGTTGGCTTTGTTAACAATGGGTTTTGTATCATAGTAAACAGGAAAAAATTTCTTGATTTGCTCTAAACATGTAGCAGATAACATAGGAACCATATACCCTATGGTTTTATCAACAAGGGTAAACAGGATTATTACCTGAGAAGCGTAAATCGATTGTTGTTTAGCAGTGACATATGGTGTTGGAACCAGTTCTTGATTTCCAACAAGAAGGGGTTTTGAGATGTGATGAATCGACTGGAATGCAACATCATTTGTGGCCTTCACTTCCTTGTTCTTCACATTTTTTTCGGATTTGCTTCCTTTTTTGGATGGTGCCATCATTGACATATTCAATTTCTTGATTGTTTAAAGGTTTTTTGAGAAAGAGAGAGTGTAAAATTTTGAAAACCAGAAGATTGAGAAGATGAAAAGTGTGTTTGGAGAAGAAGAAGGCTATTTATAAGCTGGAAACTGTTCAATTTATATTTTAAAATTTTGGAGTTAGTGAGACACTTGGTGATCTATGATAAGTTGATATAAGAGGTTTCTTGTTTAAAAGCCACATTGGAAACCTACTTTTGTAGCAAATGATGGAACTGCTGCGCACACGTCTTGATTAGACGTGTTTGAAAAAGTAAGTCATGATTATTCTGACGTCATAGCAGTTATTGTCTATCATGAAGAATGTATGTTCGTTGAAACATAATTGTTTTGTAAGAAATGTATGTTTCTCCAAGAAATTCGAAACACACATTTATTATGGGCAATTTGTTGATTGGAAATTTCGACTACCCGGGTTTTAGCTGAAATGATATATTTTGGAGAATATAGTTCGAAAGAAAGAATAAAGGAGTTTGTGTGAAGATTCCGACAGATGAAGAGCTAATAAAAGCTTTGTTTTTGCTAAGTGTTGGCAAAAGGTTCATACGCTAACCATAGAGATTTCAAGTTATTCGAAGTATTATTAAGCATATTTCGACCGTCATGTTTGGCGCTTCGAAGACAAAGAGTTTTCAAATTCAAAAGTTTGATCTTATCCAAAGGAACACGTGGAGGCATAGAATTCGAACGCGCGTGCAGATGTCGAACGTGGCAACATCTTATTTAGGACCATTTGGTCAAAATTAGTATAAATAGGAGTTTTAGTGTTAGGATTTAGTGTGTTCACATCTTTGTAAAAAATACTTAAAATTACTCAAACTATCAGCGTTAGAGAAATGAGTTTGTGAGAATGTACGTATGATGCACCAATTTTATGTTTATTGCTATCTAACTTTAATTGAAAACTTTATACACTCCTTTAAATTTCAGTTGAAATCTTTTTACATTCCAGTCTTTTCTTTAAAAGAATTACCTTACTATTTATGAAGTTACAGTTGAAATCAACTTTGATTAAAAGAATAAGAATGTTGTAAAATATTCTTCGTTTTAGGAATAGAAGTTTTGAATGAGAACACATGTACTTAGGATCAATCTGGTCGATCCTGCAAGTTATAAATTTTTATTTGATTTGGAAGACCAGCGGTTGTTTACCAAATTTCACGGTAAACACTATTGTACTTATTCCTCATATATTTTATAATGATTTGTGATTGCTCACCCTTTCTGCTTGGAAATATTGCCTCGATACGTGGATAACTTGCATGTAATCAAGAATAGCCCGTAGGAGTTTGAGGATATCTTGGAGTTATTCATTTAATGATAGTGGTCTTGCTCTCATATTGTAACATCGGGTGGGGAAACGCTTGAGTTGGAGTTCCAATTGTTTTGATAAACCTATTTTATGAGTTTTACCATGATGGGTGTATTTGATGATGACTTTTGATATTGACCAAAAGGATTTTGATGTCGATGAACTAAATGGAGTTATTTTTGAGACTATGACTCCGCTGCGAGATTTAAATATGTTTGTTGATGTTATTAAAGAAGCCATTATTTAAAATAATTTGAAAACCTGTGTTACGAAGCGGGATATTTTATATGATGTTTTTATGAAGATGTTACACTCTGTTGGTGAGTGGTTAATATTACAATTATTCGTGAATTATCTGTTGGGTTTAGAAAGGTGTTACAACAGCAATGTTGAAAAGAGTAGGGGTCATAATTCCACAAGGGAAATGGAAGGTATTGTGGGAAGAGTCTCAGAAGTATAAAGAAGCCACTAACATATTTTTGGTATAACTTGGACCAGATTTCGACAACGGAACCATATCATAGGTCTCAATTTCTTTCCAGAATTGACTTTTCTTTTTCTCAACCTTAGCAAGCCAAGGGAGATATGGTTCACGGTCTTTCATCAAGGGGAAAGAGTGAAACACTCTAAGAGTGTTGCTCATATAGTCTAGATTGATGTTGTCTTCTATTTTCGAAGCGCCAATCGAAGACTTCACTTGATCATATACGGGTTTTTGGGTATCAGGTTTATTGCTACCTTTATCATCAGTTTTTTTCCTAGTAGCCAAGGGTTTGGTGCGGTTATAAACAGGGAAAAACTCTTTGAGTTTTTCAGCATTTGCATTAGGGTCGGGCAAATGACTCATATATGCATGTGCTTCACCGAAAATGGTTAGAGGAATGAGTACCTGAGATTGATAGATTTTGCGTTTCTCTTTAAGTAGGGGAGGCTCACGAACATACTCCTGATTTCCTACCAGCAGCGATTTTGCTATTTGAGTGATTGAGATTGAAGCTTATTTTTGTTATTTGGTTGCTTTGCTGGTTATGGACGTCATTATTAAAGATTGGAGCTTGGAAGATAAAGATTTTGTATAGACTTTTTTTGAAGAAGCTCAAGAATGCGCAAGTTTGAGAATTCAGAAGTAGAAAAGTGTTGAAAATGAAAGGTTAAGGTATTTATAACAAGAAAATATCATTTCATTTTGGAAGATGGATGAAGAGTTTAATGGGGCACGTGTAATTTTCTGAGAGGATGCATAAACAGTTGCTTATACAAGTTACCTTCATACTCCTATTTTTTAGGAGTAATGATTCTAGCAGCAATGCATGTCTCAATGAGATGTTTATGAGAAATGGTCATCATGACCATGACGCCACATCAGTAGTGGCTGACGTGTCGAAAGCTTTAAAAAAAATATTCTTTTCTCGCCTTAATAAAAAAAGACATTTTTGGGGGGCAATTTGTTAGTTTGAAATTTGACGCTCAAGTTTGAATAATGGAAAAGGCTTTTGAAGAGAAATCAAGAGTATTGAAAATGTTTTAAATTTGTTTTCAATCGAAGTAAATGATGACATTTCGACCAAATTTTTGGTGAAATGGTACAAGGTCAAAACTTAGCATTTTGAGAATGTTTCGAAGCGGGTTCGATAGAGATATTTTGAAATGAGGTTAATAATTGAATTTTGGTCTTATCTGCTCTTTTTGAAAAGAGATGCGTGGAAGCCTGCGAAGGGTAGAACACATGCACGCGAGAACGTGTCCTCTTTTAAAGGGAAGACCGTTCGTGTCGAATTAGTATAGATATGAGTCTTTAATATTAGGATTTTGTGTGTTCGATATTGTACAAATTACTCATATTTGCTCAAAGCACCAAAATGTTATCGAGAAACGAATTTCTGAGAAATGTACGTATGAAGCACCATATTTACTTTCAATATCAGTTTATTTTCATTAAAATTGATTACATTCCTTTTAAATTCCAGTCAAAACTCATTTATCTTCCTGCCATTTTCATAAATAGTCTTGTTGCTACTTTCAAATTCACTTTTACTTTTAAAGAAATCAATATCTAGAAAAATCTAAAACATAAATTATACACTATTGTCCTAAAATCAATCTAGTCGATCATATAAATAATAAAAAATATTAAATTTTAAAAGACTAATACTTATTTTCTGAACATAGTAGAGTGCAACCCATTATAGAGGCTACGAAAAAACCTACGGAAAACATAGAACAAAAGTTTTGGCTCCGTGCACATCAACGTGTTCATTTCTGAACCAAAACTCTCAGGTCCCATCATTCTTTTTCAAAACCAATGTTTTCACTTTTTAGTACAACAAACACTGCAAAAACACACATTCAAGTTCAACACACTCAGATGAAGGAAAGTGGAGCAGCAACAACAACAACAGGAGCACCTTCTTCTTCATCTTCTTCATGGAATAGGCTCCCTCCTATGCCTCCACAAAGATTTGGTAACTCTCATTTATTTATTTATTTATTTTGTTTTACTTTTTTTGGACATAATACAAAGTCAAGAATCTATATCAATATTTTATTAGGAAAATATGATTGGCTAAACCAAAGTCCAACCTTACTAGATTCTACAAAATATATTAATTAAATGTTTATATGCTGGATTCTGATCATGTAAAAACAATTTGTTTTTATCAAAGGATATGATATAATTTGATCCTTATTATGGGCCCTTTTATGAATTAAATAAAGGGTTGGTTGATTTTTTTATATGAACAACAAAGGGTTTGGTTTGGTAATAATATTAAAAAATTATTCAGAAACTATAAAGATACACCTCGTTGACATAAATTCCTTGTTCAAATGAAATAATTTAGTAGATATTGTGAAATCTACGGTTTTTTTAAATTTATTTTAAGAGGTGAAATTTTGAACATAAAGTATCATGTTAACAAGTATGTTACATTTTATTTCAACAATAATAAAAATGTCATGTTAAGAAGTAATGTTCTGTTTACAAATTTCAGAAGATAGCGATGAAGATCTATTCGAAGTTCCAGATGTAGAAGCTACACAATGTCAAAGTGTTCATTCTAAAGCTACAAGTCAAAACAGTAACCATAATCAAAGCAATGTAACAGATCCTCAACTTCAAGGTGCAAAGCGTCGTCGAGGAAGAAACCCGATCGATAAAGAGTATAGACGACTCAAAAGGTATGTACATAAATACATACTATTATTATTATTAGAGGTGGTAAAACAGACCGTCTGTCCCGTTACATTCCGCCTAAAGTCTGCTAAAAAAAAGTGGGACGGTCAAGTTTGTCAACATAAAAATCTAGTTTGTTCCGTTAAGATGACTGGTTGCCAGACGGCAGAGTTTAGAATTTTTTTTACTTTTCAATTAGATTTTTTACTTATTTTTTAGAACAATTTTTTATATAGCATCTTTTTAATAAATTTCACTTAAAAATATATTATATATATTCACAAACAAATGTATAAAATAAAACTACCAAGAATTGAAATTATTATAATTAACTAAAAAATGGCGGACTTAAGGTAGAAAATGTTGAACGAATAGGCAGAGTGGATTTTGAAGAGCGGTGGATTTTGACGGGACTGACTTTGGTGAACCGCGGACTCAAAATCTCAATTCAACCCACTATTTTTTTACGGATATATGGGTCAGTCCGGCGCGTCACAATCCATTTTACCACCCCTAATTACTACCTTCCTTCCTTTATATGAGAGACAACTTATTTTTTAAATTTATTGAATAACCAAATTAATTATAAAAAAAAGTTTTTTGATCGGTTTTTAGATTAGATGTATTTAGTCGATTTGGATTATAACTAATGTAATATTATTTATAAGAAAAAATTAAAATTTTAAATACATTAAATTATAATATATCTTAACAATATATAAATGAGATTTGTTAACGTAAATCCTCTTATTTTTATGAAAGTTCATTTTAATAAGTTTTAATTAAAAAATAATTAACGCGGTAAAACACATATTCACAGGGCCGGCCGATCAACGTGGAGGCCCTATTCAAACTAAAAAAATAGGTCTAAAAAATATAATTTAATAATTAAAAATAATACATTAAAAATAAAGCATTAAAAAATCCATAGTATTATTTACACTATTATTTTAAATTGCACTCCACAAACGAAATTGCGACCACAACATAGAGTATGGGATAGTCTCCATAATTTATTATATTGCAATTATGGTGTGATTTAAGGTTACATATCGCATCAACTGTAATGATTAAAATTGTAATAGCAATTTAAACTATAATTTAAATTATAAATATCATTTCACTATATACCATTTTCATTATTTTGTTTAAGTAAGTTGTTGATAGCATATGTGATGTGCATATACATTTTTTTTCAAGCTAAACATTAAAGTCACAGTTTTGTGTATAATACTAAATTAGAAAAATATGTATTTTTTAAATTCATAATATTTATTTAAAATATCAATAATAATATAAAAAATTGGACGCTCAAGAATGTGAGACCCAGTGCAATAGCACTGCCTGCACCTGTGAAGGGCCAGGCCTACACCTTCATATAAATAAATTGATGTATTATAGTAAATTTTTATGAAATTTGTCATAATACACTTTATTTTTTATGAAGGTGTATTTTAACAAATTTTAATTAAAAATTTGTTAAATGCACTATAAGATATATTGTGTTAAAATAAATTTTCGTAAAAACAAGTGGATTCATCGTAGCAAACTGCTATATAAATTATTGTATATTTTCTGAATTTAAAAAATAAATTTTTATAAATAACAAGGAGAGAGATTTAACACAAATTTTAGCTATGTATGTGAAATTCATCTACTCAATAACAACATTTAATTTGACGGTTCAATTTGTAATGTTACATATACAGGTTGCTAAGGAACAGGGTCTCTGCCCAACAAGCTAGAGAAAGAAAGAAGGTGTATGTGAATGAGTTAGAATCAAGAGCTAAAGAAATGGAAGATAAGAATTCTAACTTAGAAGAACGAATTTCAACTTTGATCAATGAAAACACCATGCTCAGAAAGGTAACATAACCTAAAATGAGTAATTATTTTGTCATTTACAATAAAATTTATTCAATGTTATTTATGTTACAGGTTCTTATGAACACTAGACCCAAAGTTGATGAGAGCAATGAAGGTTAGATACAGACTGAAGGTTCTTTTAAATTGGGTAATTCGTTATATTTAAAAATGTGCAATTGTTTAATAGTATTATGTTGAAGCAAGAATGTGGAATATGAGAATTATGATAATTTAAATGAATTTTAATTATATTTTTGAGTCCATATTTTATCGATTTAGTGATTTTGAATTTATTGAGTATTTCAAGCAATTTTAGTCTTCATATTTAGTTGAATTTTGAAAATTCTAGTTCTTTGATTCGGTTAGTGTTACTGGATCAAGTTTACATTCAAGTATAGGGTCAGTCCAACATAATGTGAGGTCAAAACGAATATTAAAAGGAGATATTTAGATGATAGATATCCAAATCTATTGTGTCTCAAGTTGTTTCACCTCTTTTAGTTAAGACGATAGATATTCAGAACCATTTTGAAAATGAACAAGAGTATGAATTTCGTGATGACATGCTGCAGTGAATTCGTACAGAAGCCACCAAACTAGGATTTGGTGTTGTGATCGGAAGGTCCGATAATGGTTCGGATATAAGATGTGTATTTTGTGGCATTGATAAGAGAAAGAAGTGGGAAATATAGACGTCCTCTCCGGAAATTGAAACGAGATGATACCAATTCAAGAAAATGTGAATGTCCATTTAAGTTGTGTGATTATCGCTTGGCAAATAATAAATGGAGATTTAATGTGATATGTGGTTTACATAATTATGATTTATGTGCAAACTTAGTCGGTCATCCAATTGCATGTCGGCTCTATAATAGCAGCAAAATATTATGGTTTGAATGAATATTATTGACAAGTGATTACCACATATAAATAGTACACATATCCTATATTTAAGGAATGAATGAATCAATTTCTTAATGACTATAATTGATAATGATGGCCAAGAATCATCTACAGCTAGCCATTTATTTGTGGTTATCTATATAATAATTACTAATATTTTGTACACACTAATTTCCTCTAATATGCCCCTCTTAGGATAAAGTTACCATCAGTAACTTTTATCTTGGATGAAATATCATTAAATTTGGAAGCTGCAAGAGGTTTGGTGAGGATGTCAGCAAGTTGGTCTTTGGTTGAAACATGTGAGACATGTAATGTTTTGCTTGCACTTGTTCGCGTATAAAATGGTAGTCCATATAGATGTGTTTCATCCGAGAGTGAAGAACGGGATTGACACATGAGTAAGTGGCGCCAACATTATCAAAGAGAAATTTTGGTGGATTTTTCATAGGAACCCGAAGTTCACTTAGAAGATTATTGAGCCACATGATATTAGATGTTGCAGTAGCAACAACACAATATTCTGCTTCCGTGGATGAGCGAGCTACTGTTTGTTGTTTTTTAGATAGCCAAGAGATGGGGTTCGAACCGAAGAAGATGATATAAGCCGAAGTAGAGGTGCGATCATCAGTATTACCTCCCAATCAGCATCATAATAGGCAGTGAGATTGTTTGTGGTTGTCGGCTGTAGAAGAAGGCCATGATTGATTGTTGTTTTGAGATATCGTAAAATTCTTTTGAAATGCTGGAGATGAAGAGTGGTGGATATGTGCATGAATCGGGCAAGTTTATTTATGGAGAAGGATATGTCGGGCCTCGTGAGATTGATATATTGAAGAGCTCCAATAATACTTCTATAATTCGTAGCATTAGTAAATGGAGTTCCATCACGGACTTGAAGTATGGCTGTAGCGGAAAGTGGTGTGGGTGAAGGCTTGGCACTCTCCATATCAAACCGTTGGAGAATGTCTCTAATATGCTTGTGTTGAGAAAGGAGTATGCCTGAGTTGGTGGGAATGATTTCTATGGCAAGAAAATAGTGTGGAGCTCCCATGTTCTTCAAGGAGATTTTTTTGGATAGATTTGATATGAATTCTTGCATAAAGTGGTTGTTGTTACCAGTGAGTAGTAAGTCATCAACATAAACAAGGAAGTAAGCAAGAATACCTGCATCTTCATAGATAAAGAGAGATGGATCACTCTTGCTACATGAAAATCTGTAGGACACCGTGAAACTTCTTAGTGCATCATGCCATGCTTTGGGGGCTTGGCGAAGTTCGTAGATGGCTTTGTGCAGTTTGCATACATAGTGTAGATGCTGCTAAGCTTTGAGTCCAGGTGGTTGAGTCATATAAACTTGCTCTCGGAGAGACCCTTGAAGAAATGCATTATTCACATCGAGTTGGTGCATTTTCCATTTGTGGCCAAGAGCAAGAGTAAGGATGATTTTGATTGTTTGAGGTCGAACCACCGGGGAAAATGTTTCATGGAAGTCTACTCTGTGACATTGAGTAAAACCTTTTGCAACAAGGCGAGCTTTATATCGAGCAATAAAGTCATCCACTTGTCTTTTTATGCGAAACAACCATTTGCATCCCACAATGTTGGTGTCTTTTGGAGGTGGGACAAGTGACCATGTTCCATTGCTTATGAGAGCGTCAAACTCTTCATGAATAGCCTTCCTCCAGTGCTCATGTTTCATGGCTTCTTTGACATTTGAAGGTTCAACATTTTCTGCCAATGGGTATTTTGTAACTTGAAAAAGTCTTTTGGGTTTGAAAATATTGTTTTGTGATCGAGTGACTGGCCTATTCAGTAGTGTAGGAGTTGCATTAGAGTTATTTTGCAAGGTTATTTAAACATGAGTTGAAACATTTTGAATATTACTTGATAAAGGACTTGAGGTGTAGGGACCCTCTTCATTGATCACCGGGTGAGGATTTGCTTGGTCTTCTATAATTTGTGAGTGTATTGTAGAAGTAGGTGTTGATGTTTGTTCACTAAGTGAGGTAGATTCACTAGAGTGAGAGGTTGTGTGTTGGTTAGTGTTTGGTGGATGGGCTTGGTTTGGTATAGGAATGAACGTGTGAAGGGGATGCTGTGTAATAATAGGTGATGTTGATGAAGGATTATTTGGTGGATGATATGTGATGTAAGGGAAGATATGGTCATAGAATTTTACATGTCTAGAGGTGTATATTTTATGTGTGTTTAGGTCAAGGCAATGGTAGGCGTATTGTGTATCGGCATAACCTATAAAGATACAAGGGTGAGATCTGGGCTGGAGTTTGTTGGTGGTGTAGGATTTTAACCAAGGGAAACATAGGAATCCGAAAGAATGAAGGTGTATGGGATTGGGTTTGGTTTTGTGAAGTAGTTGGAATGGGGATTTCATATGGAGGGTCGGTGTTGGGAGTCTATTAATAAGGCAAACAACTGTGTGAAATGCATGACTCCAAAATGATAAAGGTAATTTGGTTGTATGAAGGAGATCCTTTCCGGTTTCGACTTTGTGTCAGTATCGCCGTTCAGCTATTGCATTGAGTTCGGGTGTCTGAGGTGGAGTGGTGTAATGTGATATGCCATGATTAGTAAGAAATGTCTTGAGTTTGATAAATTCTCCCCCATTGTCTGAGTATAAACTTACAATGGGTAGATCAAAATATTTTTCCATAAGACTTTTGAAGGCTGGAAAAATAATCGACACATCAGATTTATTTTTCAAAGGATAAAACCAGATGTATTTTGTGAAGTGATCAACAATAATTAAGTAATAAAAATAACCATATATTAATTTTGTAGGGGAAGGTCCCCATACATCTGTATACAAAAGTTCAAGTGGTTTTGTGCTAGAAATACTAGATGTAGAAAAAGGTAACTTATGACTCTTGATTATGTTGCACGGGATGCATGGTTGTTGAACCTGTTGTTTTATTTGTTTAAGGAAAGGATATTGACTCAAAATGCGATTCGATGGGTGGCCAAGAATGTGATGCCATGGTAGTTTGGTGGAGGCGGTGAGATGTGTTTTTGGGGTGATTATTGGTTGTGGTAGAATGTAGAGACCTTGTTTATGGTGACCTTTGATTAGAGGGACCCTTGCCTTCAAATCCTTCACCAAAAAATAATCATAAAAAAATTCCACAGAGATAGGGTTAGTTTGACATAGAGATGAAATAGATAAAAGATTTTTGGAAATTTTAGGAACATGTAAAACATTTGGTAGTTGAAGTGAGTGAGAGGAAGTGCAAATAGATGTTTTACCAGTATGTGTGATGGGTAAGCATGTGCCATCTCCCACAAGTAACTCATATGTAACATGATAAGGGCGGTTTAGGTGAAGGTTGTCCAAAGCATTGGTGATGTGGTGAGTTGCACCAGAATCCATGATCCAATCTTGAGCAGCAGCATGAGATGTTGTATGTGCATGATGAGCCATAGGACCATTAGGATGCTTTGGGTAACCATGTAATTTAAAGCAAACCTTCGTTGTATGACTAGTTTTATCACAATATTGACAAATAACTCAACGAGATTGACTGGCTGATGTGGATCCTCCATTGTTGGAGTATGAAGCACTTTGATAGTTTCCACGTTTCAGTTGAGATTGTTTTCTGTGATACGGTGGCAGAACCGACTTTTATACTGGTTTTGCGTTTTGTATTCGCAAATGTCGCGGTAAGCAAGAGTCGCCACCGACTTTTATTTCATCCAACAAAGGAAAAGGAAAAAGAACAGAAAAAACCTTTTTTTGAGATGTTTCTGAGTACGTGGGGTAGATTATAGAAAGGGAAGGTGTTAGCATCCTTTCTATCCGTGGTTTTCCACGGGCTCTTAGGTACTTGCTCATTTTGAAATTGCTTGTGTGTGTTTTGAAAATTTTTTGTTTAACTTCGTGATAACCCTTGTATCTATCCTCAAGAGTGTGACGAAGTTGTTTTTGAAAACTATTTTGAAAGTGTTTGTGAAAAAGAGTTTTTATTGTTTTGAGCAAGTACTTAAGAGTTTCTACCTACTCGAAAAAGATTGTTCATTTTCTCATTTTCTTTAGAAAGCGCTATCCTACTATTAGTGAGTAGGTAGCCCTATCGTTGGATGTTGAGGGACTATCGAAAGGGACGCTATGGTCATCGAAGGCAACATATAAAGATATCTTAGCATTCGAAGGGACTGTCATCATATAGACAACATCGAGGGACAATATCATTTCTCGTAGG